CTGATGTGTGTGTGTGTGTGTGTGTGTGTGTGTGTGTGTGTGTGTGTGTGCAGAGACTAACTGATGTGTGTGTGTGTTTGTTGTGTTTCAGCAGCAGCCGTTCTACATCATTCCTGGAAATGCTTCAATGGCTCCACAAGCTGTTCCCACTTTCGAAGCTGCGTCGCCTCCGTGACTCCGCCCCCCCACAGGTCAGCTGCCCCTCCCTGAAGGAGGCGCTACAGAGCTCAGTGACTCAAGCAAACACAATCAGAACCAGGTTCAGTTGGGGGGGGGGGGAGCTAGTCATTGTTCGGAGGGTGCAGGTGGTCGTTGTTTCGGGGGGAGGAGCTGGTCGTTGTTCGGGGGGGGAGCTGGTCGTTGTTCGGGGGGGGGGAGCTGGTCGTTGTTCATGGGGGAGCTGGTCGTTATTTGGGGGGGGAGCTGGTTGTGTTGGGGGGGGAGCTGGTCGTTGTTCGGGGAGGGGGCTGGTCGTTGTTCGGGGGAGCTGGTCGTTGTCGGGGAGCTGGTCGTTGTTCGGGGGGGGAGCTGGTCGTTGTTCATGGGGGGGGGAGCTGGTCGTTATTCAGACTTAGGATTGCAAGTGTCCAGGGTCAGGAGAGGGCGTGAGTGGGAAACCCATTGCCGCAACTTGGCCCTGGTTTGTCCTCATGGATGAGGTGTTGGGACAGAGGCATTCCACCTCACCCCCAGTCCTAATTGCCTCCATCCCTGAAGACACACCAGGGCCAAGTGAGGCTGTGGGTGACCAGGAGGAGGAAAGAGAAAGAGAGAGAGAGACAATCATGATGAACTGATGCAATTAATCAAAGAGGACATGCGGTTCTAGAGGGAGGCAGCAGAGAAGAGGGCACAGGAGAGCAAGGCACAGATGGAGAGGATGTTCTCCCTTCTGGAGCGTTTGATAGAAAAATGATGTAAATAAAATATTTGAATTAAAATAGGAATCATTCATTTTCTTAATTTTTATGTTTGCTCTGTTTAGTGTTATCTTTAATATACTTTTTAATTAATGAAAATCATTTAAATTGAATTCAGATATAAATGGTTTCTATTATTATATTATTGTTGTATTTATGGTAATCGAATATGCCAATCCATAAAATGTATATAAATTGAAAACATTTGGTTAATTTAACGAACGCTGTCAGGGTTGCTAGGAGACAGAACAGTTAGTGACGCAAGTAGGCAGTCCTCTCGTAGACAAGACCGTCTCATTTCGGAGACCGCTCAATTCAGTCTTCTCGGTCTACGGAGGACGTGGCTCCTGGAATGGGACACAGCTATTAAATCTGTTCCTGGTCCAGGTTTTGTTCCTGGTCCAGGTTGTGGTCCTGGATCTGGTTTGGGTCGTGATGGTGCTGTGTTGTTTTGCAGATGGTGAACCTCCATAAAGAGGGACTTACTGTTCCGGAGCCTCCAGCATACGATGTTAACTGACACAGCGTCACGAACCTGTTTCACGCTGACATGAGGTTCGACTGCAACGTGAAATAAATTTAATAACTTTAAAACAAAGTGATTATAAAATGTAAAAACTGAAATTTAAACACTGAACTTTGAATCACAATGTTTTCCAGAATAAACTGTTGAAATCTGACTCTAAATAAACTCCTTTCTGCTGACAGACTTTTTGTCTTCTCATCATTTCAAACGCATTAGCAAAGACGAGTGGATCATGCTAAAGCCATTAAAGGGAGATCATGCTAACGCCATTAAAGGGAGACTCCCCTGATCATGCACACGGTGTCTCCTTCATCAACATTTTAACCTCTTCTGGAAGCGATTATTCAGTTCGGACAACATTCACCCGAACTGGTAAAGCTGCTAATGGAGTTTCTCGCTCACATGTTATGCTCCAAGGTAATCATAAACATTCACCGAAGTCCACTCCCTCTGACCAGGCCCACTACCAGTGACGTCCCCCAGGTCCTAGGGCAAGTGTTAGTTACTGTGGTCCTTTAGTTACTGGTCCTTTAGTTACTGGTCCTTTAGTTACTGTGGTCCTTTAGTTACTGTTCCTTTAGTTACTGTTCCTTTAGTTGCTGGTCATTTAGTTACTGTTCCTTTAGTTACTGGTCATTTAGTTACTGTTCCTTTAGTTACTGGTCATTTAGTTACTGGTCATTTAGTTACTGTTCCTTTAGTTACTCTGGTCCTTTAGTTACTGGTCATTTAGTTACAGTTCCTTTAGTTGCTGGTCCTTTAGTTACTGTTCCTTTAGTTGCTGGTCATTTAGTTACTGTTCCTTTAGTTACTGGTCATTTAGTTACTGTTCATTTAGTTACTGTTCCTTTAGTTACTCTGGTCCTTTAGTTACTGGTCATTTAGTTACTGTTCCTTCAGTTACTGGTCCTTTAGGTACTGTGGTCATTTAGTTACTGGTCCTTTAGTTACTGGTCCCTTAGTTACTGTGGTCATTTAGTTACTGGTCCTTCAGTTACTGGTCCTTTAGTTACTGTGGTCATTTAGTTACTGTGGTCCTTTAGTTACTGGTCATTTAGTTACTGTTCCTTCAGTTACTGGTCCTTTAGTCACTCTGGTCATTTAGTTACTGGTCATTTAGTTACTGTTCCTTCAGTTACTGGTCCTTTAGTGACTTGTCCTTTAGGTACTGTGGTCATTTAGTTACTGGTCCTTTAGTTACTGGTCCCTTAGTTACTGTGGTCATTTAGTTACTGGTCCTTCAGTTACTGGTCCTTTAGTTACTGTGGTCCTTTAGTAACTGTGGTCCTTTAGTTACTGGTCCTTTAGTTACTGGTCCTTTAGTTACTGTGGTCATTTAGTTACTGTGGTCCTTTAGTTACTGGTCCTTTAGTTACAGGTCCTTTAGTTACTGGTCCTTTAGTTACTGGTCCTTTAGTTACAGGTCCTTTCGTTACTGTGGTCCTGTGTGTGTGTGTGTGTGTGTGTATATGTGTTTGTGTGTGTGCATCTGACTATGTATGTGTGTGAGTGTGTGTTTATTTTGGTTTTAATTGGATTTCTGAATCATAATTATGATTGTTGAAATATCTGTTTCTTGTCTTCCTGTTTTTAACCTTTGTGTAAAGCTCACTGAGCTTACCTGTAACGAAATGCTTCATAAATAAATGTTCTATTGTAAACCACAGTGTTGTTCTATCTAAACTCGCAGCACAAGCTGCCCTCTGATCCTGATCCAGAGTCAGTCCTGCAACAAAAACCGGTCTGTGAACCCTGAGATCACTAATTCTTGCTGCGAAATAAACGTAATGGACTGTCTGGGCCTCTTTTGTGGTGCGCCTGCAGTCAGGCTCATTGTCTATATTTATTCTGTCACCAAACAGCTGCTCAGAAAAGAAATCCCTGACACGTCGAGCCGACAGCTGCCATTCCTCTGAGGGTTCAGAGTGAAAATGGTAACAGACAGAGAGGAGCTCAGAGCGATGTCCCTCAACAGAAACAACCTGAAGAACATGAAAGGGAATCATTAAGGAGCTTTAACAGGCACTCAGGACCACCACATTTAAAACAAATCTTGAGCAATCCTTTATAAAATACATCAAACTGCAAACTCTCTCTCCTGGATCCATAATGGCCGACAGCAGCAGCCCCCCGCTGACGTCCTATATCATGGACGAGGAGACTCTGAAGAGAAAACAGAAGGAGAAGCTGAAGAAGCTGATGGCTACAGGGGGAAACCCCCGACCTGCTCGCTCGCTCCTCTTCCTCACACTGAGGAACCCGTTCAGGAAGGCCTGCATCAGCATTGTCGAGTGGAAGTATCCTAAACCCCGTTTTGCTCTGACTGTAGATCCATGCGGTCAACTATGACCCGTCATGTAAATCTTTACTTCTCTACCAATTAGCTTTATTATGGTAGCCATGTAAGTTCTTATTCTTAGCCTTGTCAGTTTCTTGTAGTAAGCCTTGTGAGCTTCTTGTAGTTAGCCTTGTCAGCTTCTTGTAGTTAGCCTTGTTAGCTTCTCGTAGTTAGTTAGCCTTGTCAGCTTCTTGTAGTTAGTTAGCCTTGTGAGCTTCTTGTAGTTAGCCTTGTTAGCTTCTTGTAGTTAGTTAGCCTTGTGAGCTTCTTGTAGTTAGCCTTGTTAGCTTCTTGTAGTTAGCCTTGTTAGCTTCTTGTAGTTAGTTTGCCTTGTGAGCTTCTCGTAGTTAGCCTTGTTAGCTTCTTGTAGTTAGTTAGACTTGTTAGCTTCTTGTAGTTAGCCTTGTTAGCGTCTTGTAGTTAGCCTTGTTAGCTTCCTATAAATCCTCTTCAGACCTTTTGAGATCATCATCCTGTTAGCCATCTTTGCTAACTGCGTTGCTCTGGCTGTATATCTGCCCATGCCAGAGGAAGACAGCAACAACACCAATAGCAACCTGGTGCGTCATTGCGTGTGTTTGTGTGTGTGCGCGCGCGTGTGTTTTCGTGTGTGTCTTAGTAAATACTGTGTTTTAAATTCTAACAGTTTTAATGTCTCACAACGTGCAGATTGAGTTGTCATAACTCTTTTCACAGCATGTTTTCATTGATAATAATATATCAAGATGACTTGTAACATTAATGTGTCACATTGATTAATAAAGAATTGAATGAATCTTCTTTGTTCATCTAATCTTTTAATGTTCATGTTTTCATCACAAATTAAAACGGTTTGAAACAAAGTCCAGAGTCTTGTTTGATTTCATTAACATTTCATTTTTTAACTCAATGAATGTTTGATGAACTCAACATGTTTTTTTTTACTCACATGAACACTACGGCCTACGTTACACACAGCACCGCCAGACATCACAGCGACAGCACTGCTGTTAAATGCTGACTTTGGAGGGGCAATATGTCCAGGTCTCTAAAGACCCTCCATGGTCCACACTCTGATGACTGAGAAACAAGGCTGGGCCACAAACGCACACAGATATGGGATGACTGATGGGACCAGTGGGTTCATAAATTGGGATGTTTAGGACCAGTGGGTTCAGGGATTGACCTTGCCCCCATTTGATCGTGGATGGATGTCAGTAGGTGTGTTCTGTCCGTTCAGAAAATGACATACCAATGAAACTTGCCAAACATGGGGTCAACATATGGAACCAACATGTGTGATGGTCCAGCTAAACATGGCGTCAACAATATTACAAAGAATAAATTAAAATCCTTAAAAGCACAAAAATATCTCTTTAAAGTTTCAGATCATTCCCAGATTTATCAGTGGGATTGTTAACTGTAACTAATTTTTCCACAGTCAGGTGTAAGGTGTAATGGCTGTGAATTTGCTTTTATTTAGCAAACAAACAGGAAGTACCTGAAATGAACTTGAAATATCGGTCACACGTGTTTCTTATCATTTTAAAGGTGAAGTAAAGTTTACTGTAAAGTTTAACATTCAGTAAAGGTTACCGTAAAAATGATGATGTAACTCTACCAAACCATTCCAACACTTTAAAGTTAAATACTTTTATTACAGATTATAATCAGTCTAATCAGTGTTTCTGTATTATCTCTGATCTATGGGTTAGGGTTAGTATGAAACGCGCTCTGATGGTGGACCCAGCTGCAGTTTCAAAATGAAGGATTGACCTGATTTATCTCCAAGGACAAATATTGTCTCAAATATCAGCTGATTGAAATTAGAATGAAAGAGGACACAGGCAATCCTCTGAAAGACAGACAGGCAGGAGCAGATGGACAGAGAGAGACAGACAGACAGACAGACAGACAGAAAGACAGACAGACAGACAGGCAGGCAAACAGGCAGGCAGGCAGACAGACAGACAGACAGACAGACAGACAGACAGGCAGGCAGGCAAACAGACAGGCAGGCAGGCAGGCGGGCAGACAGACAGACAGACAGACAGACAGACAGACAGACAGACAGGCAGGCAGGCAAACAGAGAGGCAGGCAGGCAGGCAGACAGACAGACAGACAGACAGAAATACTTTTATTACAGATTATAATCAGTCTAATCGGTGTTTCTGTATTATCTCTGATCTATGGGTTAGGGTTAGTATGAAACGCGCTCTGATGGTGGACCCAGCTGCAGTTTCAAAATGAAGGATTGACCTGATTAATGTCCAAGGACAAAAATTGTCTCAAATATCAGCTGATTGAAATTAGAATGAAAGAGGACACAGGCAATCCTCTGAAAGACAGACAGACAGACAGACAGATTTAAAATCAACATAAAGTGACATATTAAAGTGAAATATAACCATTTGAACCAATGCAGTCAGTTTTTCTGTTTTCAGCGGTGTGAAAATGGTCTTTTCAGATCATAACAACAAACTACCGCCGCCTGCTGACAAGGAGAGTTATTTCCTTTCATGCATGAGCGTGGTGGTTGGCCGTCGGCTGTAGTCTTAGCGGTGTGTTCAAGTGCAACTTTTTGGCCAAGACGTGAGGCAACACCACAGGCGGCCTTCGTCGACAATACTTCTTTGCCGTCTGCTTGTTGTGTCATGGCCTTTAGTAGTAGCCTTAAATAGTAGTTCTCGAAGTTGCAAAGGTGACAGGCGCCCTCTTTTGGTATAAAATGGTATTACATGTGACTGCTGGTAAACTAGTAAACAGCTTGTCGGTTAATATATTTTTAATCGGTTGGATTCTTCATTAATCAGCGATTAATCGATTGATCACTAACATCCCTAATTGTTGTTGTTCATCGTTGTTGTGTGTTGTTGTTGTTTATTGTTTTTGCTTATCATTGTTGTTTATATTTGTTTGTTGTTCATGGTTGTTGATGTTTATTGTTGTGACACAGGAGAGTCTGGAGTACATCTTCCTCATCATTTTCTCCATCGAGTGTTTCCTGAAGATCGTGGCGTACGGATTTCTCTTCCACGCAGATGCTTACTTAAGAAACTGCTGGAACATTCTGGACTTTGTTTGTGTGTCTGTCGGGTCAGTATTTGTTTGTATACCATTCACACACACACACATGCAAACATACACAGATATGACTTGGGGGTTAAAACAGTCCGGGGCTGTCAGCGGCTCCACGATTCGTCCATGTGTTTTTTTAAAATCTGGATAGCATTGCTATGTTACGGGAAGGACACTTTGTTAGACACCAAGGGTGGAGAAATTGGCAAAAGCAAATGATGCTGACTTTAGCAAGCTGCGTTCCATTATTAGTGATTATCTCAACAGAAGAAGTGACGTGTTTGTTTACACATGTATGTTCTAATGTTCTGTGTGTATGTGCATCATTTTTCTGTTTCAATATAATCACTTTGTTTACCTGCAGCTTGTTCAATGTATACTGTGTGTGTGTGTGTAGCTTGTTCACAGTAGCAGTAGATGCCATTAACCACCTAAGTGGGGTGGAGGCTCCGGTGGGAGAAAAAGGTGGAGGTTTGACATGAAAGCTTTGAGAGCGTTCAGAGTCCTCAGACCTCTCAGACTGGTTTCTGGAGTCCCCAGTAAGACACTCGTGTGAATGATCAGCGCATGTGTGAGGACATTAATACACGTATCTGTATCAGAGAGGTATTACCTGTGTTTTCTTTTGTACCTCCATCAGGCCTGCAGGTGGTGATGAACTCCATCCTGAAGTCCATGCTCCCTCTCTTCCACATCACCCTGCTCGTCCTCTTCATGGTCACCATCTACTCCATCATGGGCCTAGAGCTCTTCAAGTGTAAGATGCACAAGACCTGCTACTACACCGGCACAGGTAAGATCACCGTAGTAACTGATTCTAAACACCTGGGGCTGAAACTTCAAGGATAGTTCAGTATACCCAGAGTGTCTGTCAGTTACTTGTCTTCACTAACCTGACATCAGAGATCACACATAACGGTCACATGAAGCTCTTTAGCAACCTCACAAATCCACCCGGAGTTTCTGTGACAGCGTTCACATAAAAAGGGCAGATTTAGCTTCATATAACGATCATCATACTAAACAATGACACTCATCACTGTGACCTGTATGAGAGGGTCCGTTGGCCTTCTCTTGAAGAGAGGCGCAACAAACTCTGATTTTTATATATCTTTAAGGCTCTTATTGGTAAACTTCCACCTTACATCACAGCCCTGTTGGAGTGGAATACGAGTGCCTACATGACCCGTTCTTCTGATTGGCTCGTTCTTAAAGTCCTTGGAGCTTTTACTGAACTCGGTAAATCTGCATTTTCTTTTGATGCCCCAAATTTGTGGAACGCCCTCCAGCTAACTCTAAGGATCGGAGTTCTTCCCTCTCTTCCAGAGTTTAGGAATTTGATTTTGAACAACTTTGTTTCAAATTGTAACTGTTTTAAATGATCTCAGTGGTTTTTGTCACAGATTCTGAGTGTTTGATGTGTTTTTGCTTGTTTTACTGTGCTTGTAATCTCGACTGCATTGGAAATGAGGGAAACCTCAGTGTCTTTTCGAGAATAAATAAAGGTTTGAATTGAATTAAATTTCAGCTGATGTTAACATAGTGCCTATCAGTCTGTGCTGAAGGTTAAGGATTAATACCAGTAAAGAACAACTTAAATTTAATGTAATGTGTGTTTGCGCTCTCCTCACCTTCAGCTCACAGTGCTCCATGATGAAGAGATCTGATTGGTTATTAAGCGGAGTTGGTGTTTAGAATATTAATCAATTTAGAATTTAGAACTCATTTAAACTCATGATGTTTTCAAACTAAAAGAAAGATCCTCTGAAGCTGCCTTCTGTTGTTATATCTCAGGGTGATGGGATTGAGTGCTATAATCTCAACTACCTCAGAGTCTGAAAGCTGAATCTGTTTTTTAAGTTTAATATTAGCAGCCTGTAAGAAAGTAAAAGTTGCAGCTGGGCTTTAATTTTAAGTATTTAGTCTTGACTCTCTCTAGCTGCAGAAATGGGACTTGTTTCTGTTCCTTTTATGCCTTTTA